AGGATTTCTTGAGCCCAGGAGTTAGCTGCAGGGAGCTATGAATGTTCCATTGCACCCAGCCAAGGTGACACAGTGAAACATTGTCTCTAAAAATAAACAAATTTATCCACAGAGGTAGGAAATCTCTACAAAAAAAAAAAAAAAAAAAACAACAACAACAACAACAACAAAACTATATGGCTGGGATCAGTGGCTCAAGCCTGTAAAGTGGGCAGATCACAAGGTCAGGAGTTCAAGACCAGCCTGGCCAATCTGTTGAAACCCTGTGTCTACTAAAAATATAAAAATTAGCTGAGTGTGGTGGCAAGTGCCTGAAGTCTCAGCTGCTTGGGAGGCTGAGGCAGGAGAATCACTTGAACCTGGGATACAGAGGTTGCAGTGAGCCAAGATCGTGCCATTGCACTCCAACCTGGGTGACAGAGCAAGACTCTGTCTCAAAAAAAAAAAAAAAGACCTATAAAATACTGATGAGAGGAAATGAAGATGGCAGAAAAATGGAAAGATATTCCATGTTCATGGATTGGAAGTATTTATATTGTGAAAATGACCAATACTATTAATAGAGATCTACAGATCCAACACAATCCCTACCAAGATGCCAAGGACGTTCTTCATGAAAACAGATGTCATGTTTCAAGAGGAGAGTATTTGAGGGAATTAGGTTGGTAGGTGGTGGTTTTAGGCAGACTCCAGTTTATTCCACTTAATAACTCCATTCTGACTCACTATCAACACCTCAGTTATTAACAAGGGAAACTATCACAAAGTATGAGAAAATGCATTAGAAAATAAGTGTCAGAAATTTTTGGCAAAATGACCTTGTTTTGAGCACTTTACTATCATAATCTTATTTAATCTTCAAAACAACACATCAGGAACTTAATAATTCCCTGGTTCTTTTCACAGGGAATTTGAAGTTCCCAAAATTCAGCGGCTTGCTGAAGATTTCCAAAAGATTGAAACCAGAATCAGTATAAAATTAACAGCCCTCCAATTTATCTTAAATGTTAGATGAGAAAGTTTACTCTAAATTTAAAATGAATAAATAACCATTTGAATGGAGTTGTGGGCCATTCAGTCATTCACTGATGCTGTGAGCTTCCAAAATGTTAATACCTAGCACTTAATTATCATTCCACAGGGACTCCATGATCCACAGAGCCAAATTCACACCCACCATTAAGGATTTTTGTGCTTGAGATGCCTGAGGGAGTTGAGAACTAGGGAGTCCTCAGTGTATCTATAAACCACCTCCCACCGTCCTGGAGTGAAGGCAGAGTGGGGACCGTGTGCCTTTCTCTGGTTCCCACTGCTTTTATATAAGGGTAGGCTGGCTGATATCAAACCAATGATTTAGTTTACTTCAAGCAAAGCTTTCCCATGTCAATTCCCAGATTTTTAAAAGTAAAAAATTGTCACTAATATCCATTATGTATCAACAATGACTGTCTCTTTTTTTCAATATCTTGACATTCACATGTGAAAGTTTCCTCAAACTAGAGCAGATCACTGGTTTGATATTAATCAACCAACTCTTAACGTGTCCTTTACTTTACTCATTAGTATATTGCTATCTAGGGCATGAAGGGACCCAAAGTGGTTAAAACTTGGAGATCTGTATTTCGTGAAGCTTCCAAATGCTTCAGAAATATGAAAAGTAATTTAGTAGAGCTGGACAACCAAATTTATTTGCACAGCAGGCATATTTAATACGTTAATATCCTGTGGGTGGGGTTTCATTGGGAAATGTAATCAACACCAATCACCTAAATTGGATTCTATGGCCCTAAACCAATCATGGGGAGGCCCAGAAGGCCATGGGAGAGGCCTGGAGTCCCTGAGGTTCTCTATAAATAGACGAAGTTTGGCTCCAGACTAGGTGGAGAGCGCTTCCCGGAGGAGAGAAGGTGGGAGACAGAAGTCGGGAAGGAGGTAAGTGCCCAGTGGGGATGTCTGTAGGGTTTAGGAATTGACCTTCGGGGGTTGGTTTTAAAAAGATTTGCGTTTATTTTCCCCGGCATTTGCCTGGAGACCTTGTGAAAGCAGCGGGTCTCCTTTGCACCCCAGTATTTACTCTGACTTGTTATATAAATCTTTTGTAAAGTAGGAATAAAATTAACTTTCTCATCATGGTTAGGTTACATTTTATTTTGATTTTTAGAGATGATCTCTCCCTCACTGCCCAGACTAGCCTGGAATTCCCAGGCTCAAACGATACGCCTGGCTCCACCTCCTGAGTAGCAGAGACTGCAGGCTTATGCCACTAGGCCTGGAAAAATTTTTAATTTTTCTGTAGAGATGGGGTCTCGGTGCTTTGCCCAGGCTGGTTCTGAACTCCTGGGCTCAAGCATGCCCCCGTCTCAGTCTTCCAAATTGTTGGAATTACAGGAGGGAGCCACCTTGCTGACCATTCACCACTCGTTAAAAAGTATTGCTGTGCAATTTTATCAGAGAACACGAACCAGAAAAGAAAAAAAAAAAAAAAAAAAAAGGCATTGCTGGATTTTCCCCTTCCACACAGTGTAAAATCAAGCCATTAATGAATCAGCCTCAACCTACTAGGCCAATGAGAAAGCTAAGTGTCCCTACCTGCGTGACCCGTGTGACTGCCTCTATTTTCTCCCATGTCCCATTGCTTTCTTTAATGGGAAATGAGCTGTCACAGAATACAAAGCAGTTTCTGGGAACATGAAAACGCTTTTTTTAGACACAGGATCTCACTATGTTGTCCCAAACTCCTGGGCTCCAGTGATCTCCTGTCTCAGCCTCATGAGCCGCAGCTGTGTCTAAGCCATTATAATTCCAGAATGTCAGGCTGCCTTTTCTCTCTCATATCTGTATGCTTTTTCAAAAAAAAAAAAAAATCTACTTTTAAATTGAAAAAAATGATACATATTTGTGGTGTACGGCATAATGTGCTTTGTGGGATATAAGCATTTTAAAATGGCTAAATTGAGCTAATATTCCTATGCCCTACTTCATGTACTAATCATCTTTGGGCATGAGCATATTTAAAATCTACTCTTTAAGCAGTTTCCAAGTGTACAAAACATTGTTATGAGCTGAAGTCACCAGGTTAGACAATTGCTCTCCTGAGCTGATTTCTTCAACTGAAACTCGTACCCTTTGACCTACATTTCCCCAACTCCCAACCCAGCCCTGGTAACCAGCATTCTACTCACTGCTACTGTGAGTCCACTGGGTTTTTAATTATTATTTACAGTATTCACTTATTTTATTTTTAAAATTATTTTATAATTTTAAGTTTTATTTTAAATTTGCCATGTACTTGTGCAGAATTGTTACATGAATATACTGAGCAATGCTGATGTTTGGGGTGTGACTAAACCCATCACCCAGGACCTGAGGACAGCACCCAACAGGTGGTTTTTCAACCTTCCCTCCCTCTGTCCCTCCCGAGGTTCACTGGTTTGGAGTCCACGTCCTGATTTCCTTTCCTCTGTACACGCCCAGGAGCGGGATGGCCGGATCATGCAGTTGTTCCACATTTAATGTTTTGGGGAGCTTCTACACTGTCTCCCATATCGGCTGCACTGATTTACATGCCCAGCACAGGGCTCCAAGGTTCCTGTCCTCCGAATCCTCTCCAACACTCACGACATGGGTCTTTTTGGGAACAGCCGCTCTAGCCGGCCTGAGGGGTGTCCTGTGGTTTGGATTTGCATGTCCTGAAGATGAGTGATGATGAGCACCTTTTCCTAGACCTGCTGGCCTTTCACATGTAACCCCCTTCTAGTGGGTTCTGTGTTTTCTCGCTGTGGAGCAGTTTAAGTTGCTTGTGCTTTGCATAGGAGCCCGTGTGAGATGCGTGGTATGTAAATATTGTCTCCTCCTCAGGGTTGTCTCCCCGCTCTGCCGATGCCCTCCCTGGCTGTCTGTCTGTTCTGCACTTGCTCAGATTCCTTCCAGGACATGTGTTGGGTTTCCATCCTCCAGGCTTCCAGGGACCTTTCCCGAGAGCCTCCTGTCAGTTCTTTCTCCTCTCTGCAGACCTTGAAGCAGCTTTCCCCACCTGTGGCTAGGAAAGCAGGGCTTCGTTCTCATCGCTGTTGGCCTTGGAGGATGATTAGTGCCTGCAGAGTATCACACAGTGGCTCCTGCCTGATAAATCTAGGTTTAGAAATTAATTTTAAAAGTCTTATTATTGTATGAACCCACTTCTTTAAAATTTCATAGACCGCTAGACTTTATATTCATGTTCTGGGATGAGACTAAGAATATAGAGAAACCCTTTGAGACAGAAAGCAGATTAGGGATTGCCAGGGGCTGGCGTGGGTGGGCAGGGGGTGATTCCTGTTGGGGCTGGGCTTTTTGGGGAGTGATGAGATAATTCTGGATCTAGACAGTGGCAATGTTTGCACAACACGGCACATGTCTTAGTGCCTTGAAATTGTGCTCTTGAAGCAGGTAAAAATGATGAAATTTATGAATGTGCATTTCACCAAAATAACAAGATATCTGTGTAGGAACTTAATCCTCATAAGGTTCTTTAGTGCTCTCCCTTCACTGGGCAAATAATTCTGGGGTTAACAAGAAAGTTTGTTGGGGGACAGTCATACGTTGTAACTATTTCCCTTTGTCTTATTGCATAATTATGACTAAGGATTTGCCTTGGATCTTACCTTGAGGAGAAAACATGAAGAACTTACATTATTGTTATGTCAGATTTTAGGAACTTCACATACCTGTCCTATTTAATTTACAGTCAAACAATGTTCAATGCACAGGAAAACCGATTCAGCCTCTGCACAATGAACCCCTAGAGATCAGAATCCAGGGGAGGATTTGGATTCTACACCAGAACATGCAGTCAGGCATAGACAATGGAAGAATAAGAGAGTGGATTGATTTCCACTGTGCTGAGTTCGATGCTAGAGGGGAAGAGGGATCAGGATTGGGATGAGGGATTTGAAAGAGAAGAGTGGGTGGAGTCAAAATTAATCTAATGGAGATCATGCTTTTTTCCCCTGAAGATTCTGAACAGTGAATCAATTACTGAGAAAAACCAGAAGCGGTCTGTGTAGATAGGTCTCAATTAGACACCAGCCACTGGAAGAGCTTTCTCAGAGACTGGTTGAAAATTCTCCAGTAGATATGGCTGCAAATTGCACATCCTCATGGCATCAGGGAGAACACTGCAACAGTCCTGGGTCAGACCAGCCACGGTCCATGGTGACCCCAGGAACTCAACTTGGACATCAAGACTGTGATCCTGAGACTTGGCACATGAACTTCAGGATGTTCAGCTGCCCGGAGCAGTCGGACCCCATCCAGGCTCTGAGGAAACTCACTGAGCTGTGCCATCTGTGGCTGAGGCCCGACCTCCACACCAAAGAGCAGATCCTGGACATGCTGGTGATGGAGCAGTTCCTGATCTCCATGCCCCAGGAGCTCCAGGTCTTAGTCATGATGAACGGTGTGCGGAGCTGCAAAGAGCTGGAGGACCTGCTACGGAACAACAGAAGACCCAAGAAATGGGTGAGTAGGACCCAAGAAATGGTGCAGGGAAGGGGAGCTGGGCTGGGGGCTGCAAGGTGCAGCTGGACTCGAGAGGACACGAGGGGCTGCTCTAGATCAGGGCTTCCAAGTAGAGGAGAGTTTGCCCATCAGGGACACATGGCAGTGTCTGGGGACATTTTTTGGTTGTCACAAGGTAGACATTTTCCAATGCTGAGGACAACCCACCATGACAAATACTCATCCAGCTTCAAATATCAGCTGTGCTGAGATGGCACATCCCTGGTCTAGGAGATGGACAGGCAGAGGGAATACAGGCACCCACACCCTGTGTGAGGCCAACAGGAAAGAAAGACATTGGTGAAATATTCCGCCTGATGGAACATATGGAAGGAGGGATTAGAGTGAACTAAAGAGGGGTCAAGAAGTCCCCACCTGAGGCAGGGAAGTGGTTGACATCAGAGATCCAGGCATCTCTCTCCAGGTCCCCACAGGAGCCCCTAATTTCCATAACAAGGTGAGCTGCCATTGGCAAATTGAGCTGGATTCACTCACAGTATTTCCCCTTTTCTTCTCTTTGGTTTAGAGACCCTTTCATCCAAAAGACCCATATTTATTTTCTTATCTAGAATATTCCAGGTGCAGGCAGGTGCTGGAGTCTAAAGAGGGAGAAATTTAGACAGGACTGCTATGTCCACAGAGCTAACTCGGCATCAGGAAGATGATTTTGAACATTAATTACGGTAAAGTGTGAGCATGATGGCAGGACTCAGGGAATGTGAGAGCTAATTTCAGGTTCTCACGGTGAGTCTGATTGTCTTTTTTCTCTACAGTCTGTGGTCACCTTCCACGGAAAACAATATATGGTGCAGGACTCAGATGCTGAGATGGCTGAATCCCCTGCCAGCGTCAGGGATGATCTGAGAGACATGTCCAGCCAGCGGGCCTCCTCTGTGAACGACATGCATCCGGGGGAAGGCCAGGCCAGCCAACAGCTGCAGACCCTGCCCAGGGTCCCTGCACTGTCCAGGGGGCAGGTGAGTGTGAGGCCCTGGTGTCTGGGCAGAGGTGGGAGAAGGAGCAGGAGGAAATCATGTGGCTGCTGGACTGATTGAGAGATTTGGCACAGGAAAAAATTAGAGCCATTCTCCATGGACATGGTACATCCCCAGACATTCCTGAGCCATCACAGAGTGAAGCCTCCTCTACTTTTCCCTTCCACTATGGAAGCTGTTAGCATTTAGGGCTGGGGGTAAGAAATGGTGTCAGTGAAGTGAGGGAGGCAGTTGGCACAGATAAATGGTCTCTTCCCCAAGGCCAGTTTCCTCAGACATTTCATTCAGCAAGGAACACACTTTCTACAGATTGTTGATTTCTTAATTTGTGGCAAGTTTCTCAACTGGGGTGATTTTGGCTTTCAGGACCCATTTGGCCATGTGTGAAGATTCTAGGGCATGGTGGGGTGTTCACAGCATCTAGAGGGTGGGGTCTCTGCACTGCACAGAAGCATCCCCACCAGGAGGGTGATGCAGCCCCAATGCCAATGGTGCCACGGGTGTGGGACCTCAACCTAGAGTCCTGCTCCTTCCAGTGTCAGGGGCAGGGAGACAGTGGCATGGCTGGGAGAAGTGTGCTCAGAGAACCAGAGTGAAAACCACCACACCTGTGTCATTAGAAAAGTTTGTGTATCCAATCATGGAAAAGGCAGAGATGTCCATGTTTCAGCCTTTTAGACACGGCAGTCATTGCTCTTGGTTTTCCATTGTCAGGGAGAGGACTTTCTTCTGCCAGAGACTACTGACATAAAAGATGACCAAAAGACTCTGAGACCCAAGCAGAACGTGGAGAAGGATCTCAAGGAAAACAGGAAAGAGAACCCAGGACTTACATCCCCAGAGCCGCAGCTTCCACAGGGTCCCAGTGAGTATGGAGACTTGAATCCACAAGGAGTTAGCCCCTCTCTCCTGGGGTGCAGGGCTGGGGCCAGCATTATCATCTCCTAGGGGAGTTGGTGCTCAGCTCCCAAATCCTCTCCATCCCCCACCTTTCAGAGACCTACAGTCCAATGTCTTAGGCTTGAGGTGGAGGGGAAGTTCTCAGCCAACATCAGTGTTTCGTTGCAATGAGTTTGGTGAATTGAGAATGTGCTTTATTAATGGTCCTGTGTGAAATTCCTTCTCCCAGCAGATCTGGTGAGAGCAAAGGATGGGAAGGAACCCCGAAAAAGAGCCTCTGTGGAAAATGTGGATGCTGACACAGCTTCTGCCTGTGCGGTGGAGACAGAAGCTTTGGCTCACAGCGAGGACAGAGGAGACTCTCTGAATCCAAGAGGTCCCAGAAGAAGGAAACCAGATGCCACCTCCATTTCCCAAGAAGAGCCTCAAGGAGGAGCCACACCTGTGGGCAACAGAGAATCCTTGGGACCAGCTGGGATAAATCCAGTTAATTCCCCAGGCCTTGAGAGCGCAGTCAGTCACCCTGTTGGCCAAGAAGCCGTGGCACTGCTGCCCTTTGCATGTGACGTGTGCAGTAAGAGGTTTAAGTATTACGGCAAGCTAGTCATCCACAAGAGATCACACACAGGAGAGAGACGCTTTCAGTGTCATCTCTGTGGGAAGCGCTTCATGCAGCGCATAGGCCTCCAGCTTCACCAGCGCACCCACACTGGCGAGAAGCCCTACACGTGTGACATCTGCCAGAAGCGGTTCACCCAGAAGTCCTACTTGAAGTGTCACAAGAGAAGCCACACAGGGGAGAAGCCCTACGAATGTAAAGTCTGCAGGAAGGTTTTCACCTACACGGGGAGCCTGAAGGAGCACCTGCGTGTCCACTCTGGAGAGAAACCCTATACATGCTCCAAGTGTCTGAGAGCCTTCGGTCGGCCTGCAACCTTAAGACGTCACCAGAAAACACATCGCGAAGCCACTGCGCAGTGATCCCATCATCGAGTCTGTGTCTTCTGCACCAAGAAAATGTGAATGATGATTTTTCACCGATGTTATCAGATGACATTTTACACATGAAAGGAGCCTGGCCACACACAGGGAGTGCCTCGAATATGAATTCCCTGGATGTTTCTTTAAATCCTTTTCCTCCCCAATGAGTTTTGTGTTTTGTTTCATTATGTCTATTGTTATCTTATGGGTTTATTTTGGCTGTTGTGTTGCTGTTCTTTCAATAAACAAACATCTTGTTAGTTTTCAATATTGTATAATGGAAAACTGAGTCTCCTGATTAACATGCTGTTAACCACTGTTTTGCTGTAAAGTACAAGTGTCCAAGGAGGATGGCCAGATCAAACACATGATGCCTAGGGGAGTCTGAGTTTCAGATAAACATTTTTATTAGTATCAGCATGTTCTAAATTATTCATTATTTATCTGAAACTCAGCTTTTATTGGGTATCCTAGTTTTATTTTTTCTTTTTTGTAATATGGAATGCTAAAATAAAAAATATTTTTTATTTTTGAGATGGAGTCTCTCTCTGTCAACAAGGCTGGATTGCAGTGGCAGCATCATTGCTCACTGCAGCCACGACCTTCCCAGCTCAAGCAATCCTCCCGTCTAAGCCTCCCGAGTATCTGGGACTCCAGGATCATACCACCACTCTGGCTAGCTTTCGTAGAGATGGGATTTCGCCATGTTGCCTAGGCTAGTCTTGAACTCCTGGGTACCAGTGATCCACCTGCCTCAGCCTCCTTAAGTGCTAGTATTACAGGCATGAGCCACTGCACCCTGTATTGTTTTGTTAGACTTTATTGTAATTATTATATTCAAATGTTTTGAAATAATTTTTTGTAGGGATGGCATCTAGCTCTGTTTCCCAGGCTGGTCTGGAACTCCTGGCCTCAGGCAATGCTTGCACCTTGGCCTCCAGAAGTGCTGGAATAATGGGTGTGAGCCACCATGCCTAGTTTTAGACATTTATTTTTCAGAGCTGTTATAGGTTTACAGGGAAACTCAGTGGACAGCACAGAGTTCCCCTAGACGCCCTCCCCACACAGCACAGCCTCTCCCCACCAGCATCCCCAGCAGAGTGGGGTGCTTGTTCCGTCAGTGAGCCTGCCTAGACACATCATCCTCACCACCCAGACTCCGTGGTGTCCATTAGGGCTCGCTCTTGGTGTTGTACATCCTGTGGGTTTGGACAAGGGCCTAATTATGAGTATCCATCCCTGTAGTATCATGGGGAGTATCTTTGCTGTCCCCCAAATCCTCTCTGCTCTGCCTATTTACCTCCCTGCCCCAATGGTGTATTTTTTGGCCTAAAATTTGGCAACCTCTAAATTCCCAATTTCACTCTTGAACTACAGAGGCATTCGAAGTCTCTGGTGACTAGTTGGTCTTAGTGATATTACCATCTCCTGAAGACTTTGTTAATGCACAGATGGGCAGGCCCCAAACTCAGAGCTGCTGATTTAGTAGACTGGGGGTGGGGCCTGAGAGTGTGCATTAAAAAATAGAATTCACTTGAGAATAGCTTTCCAAAATCCACTGAGAGCTCCCTATTGTCCCCACACCATTTCCCATATTGTTTTTTTGTTTGTTTGTTCTCTCTTTTCTTTTTCTTTTTTTTTTTTTAGATGGAGTCTTGCTCTGTTACCCAGGCTGGAGTACAGTGGTTCGATCTCAACTCACTGCAACCTCCACCTCCTGGGTTCAAGCTATTCTCCCGCCTCAGCCTCCCGCATACTGGCGCTACAGGCATGCACCACCACACCCAGCTAATTTTTGTTTTTTGTTTTTTTTTTGTTGTTGTTGTTGTTCTAGGAAAAGTCTTTTGCTTTTTCACAGTATAGTGAGTCATTTATGAAGAGGAAGTGAGTTCTGTTGAAAAATACTTGAAATATTCTCTTAGGGGAGAAAGCAGTTCAGCAGCTTGGAGGCCACTGGGCGGGGAGCTTAGAGGTCTGCCTGTTCTGAACCGGCATGAACAATTCCTCTTCAGCAGGCAGGGCCAAGTGCCAGCTCCTTATGGCTGGGATGTTGCTCCACACGTGGACAGCATTCTGCAGGGCCCCACTGCGGACATCCGGGATGGTGGCCCACTCCATGTCCAGGAAGCAACACACCACGTCCTGCTCTTCTCTGTTGAGCACCAGATGGTCCATGAACATCGAGAAGAAGGGCCTGGGGCTGCCCCTGGGCCACGCGTACTGCAGGAGCAGGTGGAACTGGAACAGGTACCAGGCGGGAGGAGGGTCGCAGGCCTGGAGGGGGGAGGTGTGGCGCCACACAGGAGACCGAACGGGCCCCACTCGTCCATGTCCTCCCTATGTCTGTGGCATTATCCAAATGCTTCAATTGTCCCCGGTCAGAACCGCTTTCCAAAAAGCCCAAACTCGTCAGCTGTTTCTTGGTGTCCCCACAAAGGGACAGCACCCACACCGGCTGTCTCCTCCACACAAGCACGGTTTCGAACACCTCAAGGGGACTCTTCGACTCTTGGTGGTACAAGGCCTTGAGGCGGCCGCGCCACTTCTTCCGCCGCGGGAGGAAGGCAGGCACAGGAAGCGCGCCCAGGTGCTCGTGGCGTGCAGCTTCCCCGAGGTCCCGGGCCGACCAGGATATCCACACACTCCAAGCAGTAGCACCGGGCACAACCGGGGTTTTCGCAGAGGAGCAGCGTCCCTCCGGAGCAGCAGGTGAAGCAGTAGCATCAGGTGCAGTTGGGGTTTTTGCAGAGGAGCAGCGTCCCTCCGGAGAAGCTGGTGGAGCAGTAGCATCGGGTGCCATCAGGGTTTGCACAGAGGAGCAGCGTCCCTCCCGAGCAGTAGATGGAGCAGTAACATCGGGTGCAATCGGGGTTTGTGCAGATGAGCAGCAGTTGGAGAAGCAGGTGGAGCAGTAGCATCGGGTGCCATCAGGGTTTGCACAGAGGAGCAGCGTCCCTCTGGAGCAGCAGGTGGAGCAGTAACATCGGGTGCAATCGGGGTTTGTGTAGATGAGCAGCAGATGGAGCAGCAGGTGGAGCAGGAGCATCAGGTGCAATCAGGGTTTGCACAGACGAGCAGCGTTCCTCCAGAGCAGTAGATGGAGCAGTAGCATCGGGTGCCATCAGGGTTTGCACAGAGGAGCAGCGTCCCTCTGGAGCAGCAGGTGGAGCAGTAGCATCAGGTGCAATCCGGGTTTGTGTAGACGAGCAGCAGGTGGAGCAGTAGCATCGGGTGCAATCGGGGTTTGTGTAGATGAGCAGCAGATGGAGCAGCAGGTGGAGCAGTAGCATCGCGTGCAATCAGGGTTTGCACAGAGGAGCAGCGCCCCTCCCGAGCAGTAGATGGAGCAGTAACATCGGGTGCAATGGCGTTTGTTAAATGAGCAGCAGGTGGAGCAGTAGCAGTGGGTGCAATCCGGGTTTTCACAAATGAGCAGGAGATGGAGCCTCAGGTGAAGCAGTAGCATCGGGTGCAGTGGAGGTTTTCGCAGAGGAGTAGCGTCCCTCCGGAGCAGCAGGTGGAGCAATAGGATTGGTACCGGTCATCGTCGTACGGAAGAGGGCATCCAGGAACTTGTCCTTACATCAGGCGCACATCCCTCCCTCAAACAGGGTGCTGTGTGTGAACCTGGAAACTTCCGCAGCAGAGGCAAATCTCTTCTGTGTTTCGCTGGTTAACCTTGACTTCATAGGTAATAAGACCTCTGCCTGCCGCCGGGGGAGCCGGGCTTGAGAGCTCCCTGGATCCCACCAAGATCACATCCATGCTCCCTCGGCCTCCAGGTCCAGGCCTAGGGTGGCGATTTCACAGGGCTGCTGCCATGGCTCCGGGTAGAGGCAGCAGGTGGGTTCAAAGTTACACAGGTTCGGGTCTTCCAGGCTGAGGTTCCCAGGGGAGGACTGGGCCGTGTAACCAGGGACAGTGCAGGGAAAGAATTTCTTTTTTTTTTTTTTTTTTTTTTTGAGTTCTTCTTTTCTTTCTTTTTTTTGAGACAGAGTCTCACTCTGTCTCCCAGGCTGGAGTGCAGTGGTACAGTCTCTGCTCACTGCATCCTTTGCTTCCCAGGTTCAAGGGATTCTCCTGCCTCAGCCTCCGGAGTAGCTGGGACTACAGGTACACACCACCACACCCAGCTAATTTTTGTATTTGTAGTAGAGAGGGGGTTTCACCATATTGGCCAGGCTGGTCTTGAACTCCTGACTTCGTGCTGCCCCCACCTTGGGCTTCCAAAGTGCTGGGATTACAGGCATGAGCCACCGTGACTAGCCTCTCCTATTGTTAACATGGTTCGTTAGTATGGCACGTTTGCCACAAGCGATGAACTGACTGGATACATTGCTGTAAACTAAGGCCCCTACCTTATTGAGACCTCCTTCGTGTTTACTCAGTGCCCTTCTCCTCCTTCCTCCCCATCCAGGATGCCACATTGCCTTCAGTTGTCACGTCTCCCTAGGCTCCTCTTGGTGACAGTTTCTCAGATTTTGCTTGCTTGGGATCACCTGAGAATCTGCATGTTGGGTGATGCTCTTCTTGGAGGGCATTTTATGGATGGCTGGTTGAGCTCACAGTCAGAGTCCAGCAATTTACAGAGGTCTGGAAAGGTCACTTCCCGAATAGGCTAAATTCATTTATTAAAGTCCACTTCTGTGAGACTTTGGATCTTGTCATCTAATTTAAAGGAATTTAATCAAGAGACACACAGCAAAAGAGATGCAGCATAGAGTAATTGATTGCACAGAAATATGAGATTTTGAAAGTTAAGTGTAAAATAGACAGGACACCCTGAGAGAGAGGATTCAGACCGGGCTGCACCTAAGCATGAGACGGCAAAGACCCGCTCCAGGGAGACTCCCTTTATGGGGGTCTTGGATGATTACACCTAAAGGGGTGGGAAGAGGAGTTACCAGTAAGCATATTCTGGGTAGTCCTCTGGGTGCACACAGGCAGTAACTGTGCACATGTCTTTAGCATCTTAAGTCTCCACCCAGGGGTGTGTTTTTTACTATTATAACGAGCAAAGGGTTAGTTTGTGAACAGGTCAAATCAAAGTGCTCATGCTCTTTACAGGGAAAACTCCCTTTTGTAGATGGCTTTGCTTGAATGAACTCAATTAGGAAGTGAAAGCTGGGGCTTATTGTTTTGACTGTACGGTCACCACAGCTGTTGTGTTTAGAGGACATGGTAACCTTCTGAACTACCTATCCTGCCTCACCTCGGTCCCTTTAGGAGAAAGATTCCCTGAGGTAGAAATCTGAATCCACCGTCACATGTAC